CTGCATAGGTTCGGGTTCGGACTGTACAGGGAGGTTAGACAAAACAGGTTTAGAGAATTGAGGTGTTAGGGACATAGCCGTACGTCTGGTCTTGCTTCTGGTGACTTCCCTGAGTCTTAACCTATTATCAATATGCATGACAAACGTAATAAATTCGTTAAGACTCTTAGGTAATTCTTTAGCGGCTATCTCATCTAGTATAGTCTCTGAGAGACCCCTTTTGAATGCTGAGATTAACCCATTGTTAGTCCAGTCTACCTCGGAAGCTAAGGTACGGAATTCAATAGCATAATCCGAGATAGACCGGTTACCTTGTCTGATGTGCATTAGGGCAGTGGAGGCGCCATCCTCTCTACCCAATGGCTCAAACGTGAGCTTGAATTCGGCAAGGAATTCCTGGTAATTATGAGCTATGCTCCGATTACTCTCCCACAACGGATTAGCCCAGGCAAGGGCCTTGCCCTTTAATTGATTCATTAGATAACCAATTCTTGCTCTGTCCGTGGGGAATGACCCTGGAGAGGCCTCAAAATGGTACTCCACCTGATTAAGAAAACCCCTGCATTCCTGGATATTGCCATCAAACTGTAGGGATGGTGATAAGGAGATGCTAGGAGTCATATTAACAGTGGGTGGAGGTACACAGGGTAGAGGTGCTATAGGAGGAGATGCTGCAGGCTGCAGATGCTCCGTTCTAGCAAGAAGCGTACTTAAAGCCTGAGTGAATTGATCCATGTGGTGATCATTCTCCTCTAATTTCCTCTCGCAAGCAGCTATGTGCTGACACAGTTCTACAGGATCTATGGCCCTGTCGTAATGTCAGGATTACTGTTTGATCCAGCACGTAGAACTGTACAGCACGGATGACAAGTAACGTATTACCGGTCCTTAGAATGGCCGGATTTAACGTACAAAGAATAGTCAAAAATACTAGCCGAGGTCAGGGAACACAGAAAGGGACACAGCGATGAGGAAAGCCAGGAGTCAGGATACCAGAATATAGAGAAGTCAATAAACAAAGCCAAAGTCAGAAACCAGGTAGAAAACTATAAACAGGAACGCGCTCTCGGACAACCACAAGGGAAACCACGACAGGGCACTGAGCAGGCTGAGAACTGGGCCTAAATACCCCTCCTTTCTTTCTGATAGGCTGTAACCGTCCTTTGACCCCAAAGTCAGTTACCAGGTTTCATTTGCATAATTGCTGCTCAGCATTAACCCTTCTGTGGATTAGGTTGCTGCTCGGCACAACTTTTCCTGTGTGGACCGTAAATGTCATTAACCACTTTTCTATAAGCGGATGAATACATGAGACCAGGTTTCATTTGCACAATTACTGCTCAGCATTAAACCTTCTGTGGATTAGGTTGCTGCTCGGCACAACTTTTTCTGTGTGGACAGTAAATGTCATTAACCACATTTCTATAAGCGGATGAATACGTGACAATCTTATAGTTAGGATAGCCTTATACCTATCCCACGCGTGCTTAAACTCCTCACTGTGTAAACCTCTATCACTTCAGCTGGAAGGCTATTCCATGCATCCACTACCCTTTCGGTAGAGTAATACATCCTGATATTATTTTTAAACATTTTCTCCTCTAATTTAAGACTATGTCCTCTTGTTGTGGTAGTTTTTCTTCTTTTAAATATAGTCTCCTCCTTTGCTGTGTTGTTTCTCTTTATGTATTTAGATGTTTCTATCATATCCCCCGTTTCGTCTTTCCTCCAAGCTATCAATGTTAAGATCATTTAACCTTTCCTTGTAAGTTTTATCCTGCAATCCATGAACCAGTTTAGTTGCCCTTCAATAAACTTTCTCTAAAGTATCAATATCCTTCTGGAGATACGGGCTCCAGTACTGCGTACAATACTCCATGTGAGGTCTGCAATGGCATGAACACTTCCCTCTTTCTACTGCTAATACCTCTCCCTATAAAACCAAGCATTCTGCTAGCATTTCCTGCTGCTCTATTACATTGCCTGCCTACCTTCAAGTCATCTGAAACAATTACCCCTTGGGTAATCCCTTTCCTCAAATTTTGAGGTTAGGACCTTATCGAATATTCTGTACTTTGCCCTTGGGTTTTTATGTCCAAGATGCATTATCTTGCACTTATCCACATTAAATGTCAGCTGCCACAACTCTGACCATTTTTCTAGTTTACCTAAATCATTTGCCATTTGGCTTATCCCTCCTGGAACATCAACCCTGTTATATATCTTCAGTATCATCAGCAAAAAGACATACCTTACCATCAAGACCTTCTGCAATATCACTTATAAAAATATTAAAGATAATGGGTCCAAGTACAGATCCCTGAGGTACCCCACTGGTGACAAAACCATGCTTCAAATATACTCCAATGACTGCAACCCTCTGTTGTCTGTCACTCAGCCACTGTTTTACCCATTCAACAATATTGGAATCCAAACTTAAAGATTGCAGTTTACTGATGAGCCTTCTATGTGCAACAGTGTCAAAAGCCTTACTGAAATCTAGGTAAGCAATGGCAACTGCACCATCCTGATCTATTATTTTAGTTACCCAATAAAAAAAATCAAAAAGATTAGTTTGGCATGATCTCCCTGAAGTAAACCCATGTTGTCTCTGATCTTGAAATTTATGTGATTTTAGATGTTCAACAATCCTATCCTTTAACATGGTTTCAATTACTTTCCCCACTATTGAAGTAAGGCTTACTGGCCTATAATCGACGGACTCCCCCCTACTATCTATCTGTTAATGGTTTTGTTAGTACACCACTAAGCTCTTTTAATAACTTTGGGTGTATTCCATCAGGCCCCATTGACTTATTTGTCTTTACTTTAAAAGTTGAAATAGAACCTCTTCCGATGTAAAATCACATGTAACAAATGACTCATATGTCCTTTTTCCTAACTGAGGTCCATTTCCTTTATTTTAATCTGTAAATACTGAACAAAATTTTTAATTTAAACACTGCTTTTTCAGAGAATATGCAATAGCTGGTCCCAGTGGAATTGGTGGGACCCGCGATCTGGGGGCAATTTACATAGACACTGTTAGGGCCGTATCTGTTTGGGTTTTTTTAACCACCAGCTCGCAGCTCCCTCCTTGTAATATGTAAAAATAGAAGCGGCGGGGAGCAATTCCTAACCTTCAGAGAAACTGCTATGTTTCACTGAGGTTTAATCCAGCCTCTAGTGGCTTGTCTCATTGACAGCCGCTAGAGGAGCTTCCGCGATTCTCACTGTGAAAATCACAGTGAGAAGACGCTGAACGTCCATAGGAAAGCATTGAGTAATGCTTTTCTATGGGTAGTTTGAATGCGCGCGCGGCTCTTGCCACGCATGTGCATTCGGAGCTGAGAGGCGGATCGGGGCGGAGCGATCCCCAGCGCCAAGGGAGTCCGGCGCTGGAGAAAGGTAAGTGCTTAAGACGCACACACACTCTCACGAACAGACGCATACATACTAGGTAACAGACACACACATTTACTGACTGACACACACTCAGTGACAGACATACATACACACTCACTGAGACAGACACACACTCACTCACTTACAAAACACACTCACTAACTGACGCACACAAACTAACACACTCAGTGACAGACACACACAGTAACACACTTAGTGACAGACCCACACAGTAACAGACTCACTGACACACTCTAACACTAACACACACACACACACTCTTACACTAACACATACACACTCTAACACTAACACACACACTCTAACACTAACACAAACACACACACACTCTAACACTAACACACACACACACACTCTAACACACACACTCTAACACTAACACACACACACACTCTAACACTAACACACACTAACACTAACACACACACTCACGTTTTTTTTGTAAATTTTATCCCCCCAGCCTCCTTACCTTTGGGAGAGCTGAGGGGATTCCTTGGGGTGCAGTGGTGTCACCCAGCGGGCACGCGAGGGTGCGCTCCGCGTACTGTGCGGTGCGCGTGGGAGCTGAAGAGGAAGAACTCAGGGGAGAGTGTTCCCTCGCGCGCCTGCCAGCCTGCCCACCGGGTGACACCAGGGCCAGCCTCGGGGGGCACTAAAGTGGCCAGCTCCTGGGCCCCCCACGAGAAGGGGCTGGCCACAGTGGCATACATACCGGGTCGCAGGGCGGCCGGGCCCCCTGGTGGGCCGGGCCTGGTCACAGTCGCCACCCATGCAACCCCGGTATGTATGCCACTATCCCCATCCCTTTATAAATATGTTGTTATGCTATTATAAGTTCCTGTATATTTTCTTATATGATTTGGTTAAATGTACTTTATTGAGTTTGTCACAGCAAGGTTACATATATATGTAACAAATTTATGGGCTAGTCCAAAGTAAAATAAAGTATTGCTCATGTTCATGTGTTCTGTGTGAATTTTTAGGGATCCCAGCAACAGAGTCTTCAAACCTGTTTGCTGGCTACACGATCCCTCAGGCCCTGGGATAAATCAAGAGAGCTAGGTCTGAGAGCTGCAATTGCCTGGTATAATCATATTATAGGAAGTGTTTGGGATAACTGCCCTGAAGAGCTGCAGTGAAATAGGCAGAGGGGACGATACCTGCCTGGAAGGAGAGAGCTGGAGCCTGGTTGGTTGAGCTTCAGAGAGACCCCAGTCAAGCTTCAACAACTGGGGCAAAAGCTTTCCAAGGTCCCTGCACCCAAGTGGCTAGAAAGTGGACTGGGCGGAGGTAATCGGGCCCCCACCCACACTGATGGGTGGGGATCGGGTCCATAGTAACTTAGGGCCCCTCCCTGCTGCTCATAGGTGGGGGCAGGGGGGAAGGCAGTAGGCTCCCTCCTGCCATTTGTGCGTGGGAGCTGGAGAGGGACACTAAGTCCTTCGTTTAGTTTAGTAGCCTGGGCACGGGTGGGGGTTCAGGAGGGAAACCCCGTTAAGTATTTATATAGGTGACCCACCACTTTATTTTTTTTGTCTTTCAGCCTTTTAGTAGATAGCTCCCTAATACCATATAAAAAAAATATATCGTCTATGTATTGGCCATAGGTCACCAAGTTTTGCGACATGCTTGGTGACGTATGGCCGATACATAGACAATATCTTTTTTTATATGGAAAGGAACTGATCATTTGAAATGTTTTCTTTTATTCCTGAGTGGAAACTTACGGGGCATAGAACTTAACACAATATGGAGTAAAACAAAAGTAGCGTTTTTAGATTTACAGATTTTTATAGAACATCGGAGTATTAAAACGAAGAATTATTTTAAACCTGTTGATGCCAATAGTTTCATTGGAAGGGACAGTTGCCACTACTCTCCCTGGCTAGAGGATGCACCTAAAGGCCAATTTTGGAGAATAAGAAGGAACTGTTTGGATTTAACTACTTATTAAACAGGACTTCTTACAAAAAGGTTATGATGAGAAAAAGCTGGAAAAAAGCACGGAGGAAATAAAGAACAAAAAATGGGAGGATCTCCTAAAATATAAATTAAAAAGAAAGGAGAAACGGATGGATCAGATACCATTTAAATGTCATTATAGTAGCGACAACAATAAAGCGAGAAATATAATAAACCGTCATTGGGATATTCTGAGACAAGACCCGGCATTATACATAGAGGTGTAAAAAAAATCTTAGAACTCAAGCAGTGAAGTCACTTAAAAGATAAAAAAAAAAATACTTTCTCTTTTAACAATAATATAGGATTTTATGGATGTGGGTAATAGGGATCGACCGATTATCGGTTTTACCGATATTATCAGCCGATATTCGGTATTTTCGGCAATATTGGTATCGGCCAATAGAGATACCGATATTGCCGATAATACCTCCTAGGACCTGGGGGGCCGGCAGCAAGCTCTTACTTACCTTTCCTGCAGCTCCTCCAGCTCCCCAGTGTAAATCTCACGAGTCCCGTGGCCGCAGAGCATTGCCATGGGTTACCATGGCAACGCTCTGCGCAGCACTCAGACCGCAAAATTTACACAGGGAGCGGAAGGGAGCTGCAGGAAAGGTAAGTAAGAGCTTGCTGCCGGCCTCCATTGCCCAGTACATGCCACTGGACCACTAGGGACTGCTATAGCCCCCCTCCCTGGCCAAGTATGAAACAAGGAGGGGGGACAAAAAAACCAAAACATATAAATATTAAAAATAAAATAAAAATAAAAAATGCCTCTCCCCCCCCCCCATTTTACACAAATCACATCCCTTCACAAACACACACACACTGCATTCATTATATACACACACTACACAAACACACACACTCTGCATTATATACACACACTACACACAGACACTGCATTATATATACACACACACACACTACACAAACACTCTGCATTATATACACACTACACAAACACACACTCTGCATTATATACACACTAAACAAACACACACACACTCTGCATTATAAAACACTACACAAACACTCACACACACTCTGCATTATATACACACACTGAACAAACACACACACATTGCATTCACTATACACACACTACATTCACTATACACACACTACATTCACTATACACACACTACACACACTCTGCATTCACTATATATACACACTACACGAACACTCACTGCATTCACTATACACACTACACTAACACACTGCATCCACTACACACACACACAGCTCCCCTGTCTAAACACACTGCATCCACTACATGTGGCATGTATATTTTGTGCATTTACCTTTAGAAATAGTTTATTTTTTCAAAATGGTAAATGTACAGAATATCGGCAAGTTATCGGCTATCAGCCTGAAAGTGATGTTAACACAACTATAAGGAAAACTAAAATGTAGTGGATTTTTTTAATTAAATACTTTATTACCATGTGGCCTGAATAGTGACTTTGAAATCTGCCATTTTTTTAAATTAATGAAGCACCTTTTTAACTTGCACATGAATTAGGTACACAGTTTAAGATGTTTTTATGGGGATAAGGTTTTTCTATTTCTTTGTATTTTGGGTAAAATCCAACCCCATGCTTCTCAATATATATATTTCTTCTTTTTTTTAACATGTCTAATTCTTTTAAAAAATTTTTTTTATATTTAATAGAGAGCCATATATCTACACATGTTTTAGAAGTTCTTAATCTCTCTCTCTCTCTCTATATATATATAATGCAATGCCACCTAACTCGGGAATGAGGTCACATCGAAGCAAGATTCAGAATGAGCAGTAAGTAGTGAAAAGTAGAAGCAGGCTTATATACATGAGAGCAGGGACCAGGAAGTCTATTGTACAGGACTGAGGAAGCCAGCGAATGGTGAAACACGTTTCTGGAGGATAAAAGACTTTATAATATTGGTATATTTTTTCATATTGTACTCTCTTTGTTGGTTTTATAAATATAATAAAGTAATACTTTTTTAATACCATTACCTGAGTTCCTGCATTTGAGAAAATCAGCCTTTTCTACCTTTATTCGTGCAACTTTTGGGATTTTTGTCTATATTTTGTTTATTTGTTCGGTAGTTTTCAAACTACTGAATGACCAACCACCCCTCTGGCTCATTATCACTACAGGAAACCTGCAACTAAGCGCTCTCTATGTGTGGCCGTATAGCCGAACGCCACGTGGAAGAGAAAACGGCGGCAATCTTGTTTGCACAAAAGGAGGCAGCGGGACTTGGTCGTCGAGTGTCTGGAACTAAAATCGGACACTCGACTTCCTGAACCACCGGTCAAACTGACGAACACCTGCTTCCTTTTCCCTGAACAGCTAGGAGAGCACTGTTCGGTAGTTTGGTTCCCACGAATCAGGGGAATAATTGCTGCTATGAGCCAGAGGGATCCATTTGTGTATTTCTTCGGTTTTATGACTTAATGAAATAGACCAACCGCACAGCCTAAACTTATGGAACTGTTCTGGGCAGGAGCCTTGTGTGCGGTCAGTCAAATCGGACTTCCATGAAATTCGAAAACCCCTGAACCGATCTGAGTGATTTTTGGATATGTTGGTCACCCAGATCGGGGGCTATCAGAGGATGTGATATTTGTGGGGGTCTTGTATGTTTTGGGGTGTTTTCCAGATAGTTTGAAAATTGTGTCCCCTCTGCCCAGAGATAATTGAGTTATTAATTTATCTGACCCAATTATCTCCAGGCAGAGAGGAGGGGATTAACTGTTTGTACTGGGAGTGTCACTGTTGTGCTCTGTGTTACTGTTGGTTGTACTAAGGTGTGTCCCTGTTTTCCACAAGGTCCAGGAGGGTGTTCTCCTGGTCTGAAACTTGCATAAAAGCCAGTGTGGCACAATAAAATTTAATTCCTGTTACACCCTTCATCATGTTTTGGCTGATGTTTGGGTACCTGATTACTGCTTTGGGGAAATTCAGCTTGAGCGCTTCATCTACTCTGGAAAACTAGACGAATGAAGAAATGAAAGGCGAGCTATAATCACTCTTGCTCTTAGCCGTTCAAGTAAAAACTGACAAACCCCTAGCTATCACTTCAGGGTTCGTTACACTGCGCTTATAAAAGAAGGTGGTGTAGTCCTCAACCATACAAAGCTACAATACTGAGCCAGGATTTAGGCTCCACGTTTGTGAGTATAACTATTACTACTCATAAGTTTCTCTCTTAAAACAATATTACACTATTTCCAAAATTTCCTTCAACTCTGGGATACATCACTGGATAAAGGGATCCATTAAAAGAACTATTACGAGAGAGGGGAGAGGTTGCCCAAACGGACCTAAAAGCTATACAAACCAGAGCTAGGTGGATTATCTCTGTACCATGTGAGTGTTCCATATAAGATTTTGCACCTTAAAATATATAATACGGCTTTACATTATTGTCTACTATTTTTCTGTTTAAGGTATACTTACTGGTTTACCACAAATTTTCATGAAAGCCAGTTAAAGGGATCCTATAGTGCCAGGAAAACAAAACCATTTTCCTGGCACTATAGGCTCTTGGAGAGCCCCTCACCCTCGGCACTGAAGGGGTTAAAGCTGATGTCTGCTTCCTAGTGGAGCCGAATGCGCAGCCAGAGGTTTGCGCCCATTAAAACCCGCTCATTGGAAAACATTACTCAATGCTTTCCTATGGGGATCTTATTTTCCCACTGGACCCCCAGGAACGCCACTCACTGTCATGGCTTACCTTAGTTGGGAGTCCGGTAGGTAGAGATTTATGCTCACCCTTGCAATTAAACACAGGCCAAGGTGGACAGCTAAGAATTCACCAGGCCTGTGAGTTTGTGCATGGGGGCTGTGCATTATATTGCTCCAAGGCGCAGTACAGGTAAGGACACAAGCAGGAGACTCGTCAAGGGTAAGCCAAAGTCAGAGGATGCCAGAAGTCGGGATACATGGTAAGAAAGCCAAGGTCAGGAGCCAACTGGAGAACACTGGATCACGAATACAAACACACGCCATCAAACACACTATGTGACATATTACCTCACACACAATTAAACAAGCAGCCATCATACACAGGGATCATACAGAGCTCATAATCAAATATAATGTAACAGCCCACATATGCACAAATACAGAGCAAGTGCCGCACCCATAGATAACATGAGCAGAATACGGGATCATACACATCTTAATTAAAAAAAACAAGACTGGAACGCTAAGGTTATCCAAGATCTTGTTTTGGCACAGTACTAATAAAATGTTGCCTACCCCTGGTGTAGAGGATAAAGTGTGTAAGGCAAGCATGTCAAATTCGTGGCCCGGCAAGCCGCGACTACATGCCTTGTTGTTAAAGCAGAGTAGCCACCTACTTTCCCTACATTGAGGTGCCTACTCTGTAATAACTTACCAGGCCGGGGAGGAGGGCCAGCGAGGGAGTTCAGCGTTCCTGCTCCTCACTGCTCCCTCGCGAGCGCCGTCTGTAGTGAATATGACGTCATATTCTGGCACCCGGCTTCACTAAACCGCGCGAGGGAGCAGTGAGGAGCAGATAGAAGGTGTGACGAGAGCAATCTCGCCACATTGCATTGGAGAAGCCTGGTTGCTCGCCTGCTACCTTTAGATTATAGCCCCATGTTAAAAGACTTTGTTTCCCCTGCAGAAAAGACTTATTCGTGCTTTTCTGCACGGTGTTCGGTAGATTCAATCTACCGAACAAC